GACTTTTAACCATAGGTTGGATGGCCATCAGGGATGCAGGTGGCGCTGTGGTCTAAACCACTGAGCCTTTTGCCTTTTGGGCATGCCAATCAGAAGGTCGGCGGTTCGAATCCCCGCTACAGGGTGAGCTCCCGTTGCTCGGTCCCTGCTCCTGCCAACCTAGCAGTTCAAAAGCACACCAAAAAGTGCAAGTAGATAAATAGGTGCCACTGTGGTGGGAAGGTATCCGTGTGCTGTTCTGGTTTCGGTGTTCCATCGCGCCAGAAGCGGCTTAGTTATGCTGGCCACATGATCCGGAAAAACTGTCTACAGACAAACACTGGCTCCCTTGGCCTGTAAAGCAAGATGAGCGCCCCAACCCCAGTGTCGTCTGCGACTGGACTTAACGGTCAGGGGTCCTTTACCAGCCAGTGTGATGCAATGGTTAAGAGCAATGGACTCATAATCTGGTGAACCGGGTTCGCTTCCCCGCTCCTCCACATGCAGCTGCTGGGTTACCTTGGGCTAGTCACACTTCTCTGAAGTCTCTCAGCCCCACTCACCTCACAGAGTGTTTGTTGTGGGGGAGGAAGGGAAAGGAGATTGTGAGCCGCTTTGAGACTCCTTCGGGTAGTGATAAAGCGGGATATCAAATTCAAACTCTTCTTCTTTACCTTTACTTTTGGATGGCCATCAGTCATGGATGCTTTAGCTGAGATTCTTCATTGCAGGCTCTTGCAGTACCTTCCAACTTTCTGATTCTTTGGTTCAAAGGTTTGTTGGTAGGGATGAGAGATGTCTGATATTGCAAATATGGTATTTGCACAAGTAGATTCAGACACTCACCAAACCTCAGCCCTCACAGAGCTATAGTTCCCAAAGTGGTTTAATAATCAATCTCTTTCCCCAGGAAACTCTGGGAATTGCAGCTCTCTGAGTGGAATAGCAAACTACAGTTTCCAGGATTCTATGGGGGGAAGGAACAGCTGTTTAAAGTGGTATGAGCCCAGTTAAATATATAGTGTGGATGGGCCTTATTCAAGAGAATTAGAGGCAGCTGGTAGTGCGTTGAATCGGAGGCAATGCTTATCAAGTCCTTTGCAGATTTTGTCTGTAATGTGTTATTGTACAGACATGTTGGCCTTCAACTGGGCTTGCTGTTGAGGTTATAAAAAGCTCAGAGGTCAGGAGTCACCCCTGGCCCAGGTCAAGCCCTAACCTCACAGGCTACAGCTCTGTCCCCCGACACCAGTTAAGGCCCCGCTGGGACTGTGTTGAACTTCCTTCTGTGAAGCTAAGATGATGAGCCATTATTGAATTTCGGGAGCCCTTGAAACTCCTTCCTTGCCACACCTGAGACAGACCATGCAATCACCCTGTGATTTATACACACGGAGTTTCTGTGCAGAGCAGATGGTGGCTCCTTCAATAATATTCTGAAAGCGTCAACTTTGAGTGGAGAGGCGAGAGATTTCATTATCTGGGAAGAGCAGGAACCTCGACTTAAGCTGTAAAGAAGATAAGGAGATAAAAGATGGTTTCCCCCACAAATCCCATATTTGCAATCTCGCTCTCCAGGGCTGGGCTCATCTCCGCAAAGAGCATTAACGGAGGCCGACGTGATGAAAGGGAAGGCTCTTTCAATGCTTTGCTTACTTGTCCTGAGGCTGGAGATTTTATAGGAACAGAGGAAGCTGCCTTATGCTGAATGCCATTGCATGCCCTGTAATAAATGAAATTAAGCACCCAAATGCCACTGCATGCCAGCTGCCTACCACCAGGTAGCAAACATTGAAATCGAATACCATTAATGTAGACACCAAACAACTGGCAAATATTTGAACACTGAGAGTCGACATCAACATTTGCAAAGGGGAGCAAATTACTGGGAGCAAATTGACTTCAGTTTTTTTTAAAAAAAGCCAAGGGAATGCCACTCAGAACTGTGTCTGTGTATTTTATTTATATTTATTTCATAAAATTTATAAACTGGTTGTTTGTAAAAACAAACAAATAAACAACAACCACAAAGCGGCTTACAAAAGGATAAAGCAATAAAACCAAGAAACATTTACAATCCTTTTCAACATGCTAGAAGTTAAAATACTACAACAGATTAAAATTCATATTAGCATTTCTAAGCATCTAGGTAGGCTTAGCCTGAACAAGAATGTTTTTAGCAGGCACCAAAAAGAATACAGTGAAGGTTCCTGCTTGGTATCAAGAGGCAGGTGGTTCCGAAGTATAGGTGCTGCCATACTAAACAATTGCGTTCTTAGAAATGTGGAATGGGTGTTATGTGGCACATGTGTTGTTGTTGTTTAGTTGTTTAGTTGTGTCCGACTCTTCATGACCCCCTGGACCAGAGCACGCCAGGCACTCCTGTCTTCCACTGCCTCCCGCAGTTTGGGTCAAACTCATGCTGGTAGCTTCGAGAACACTGTCCCACCATCTCGTCCTCTGTCGTCCCCTTCTCCTTGTGCCCTCCATCTTTGCCAACATCAGGGTCTTTTCCAGGGAATCTTCTCTTCTCATGAGGTGGCCAAAGTCTTGGAGCCTCAGCTTCAGGATCTGTCCTTCCAGTGAGCACTCAGGGCTGATTTCCTTCAGAATGGAGAGGTTTGATCTTCTTGCAGTCCATGGGACCCACAATAGTCTCCTCCAGCACCAGAATTCAAAAGCATCAATTCTTCAGCGATCAGCCTTCTTGATGGTCCAGCTCTCACTTCCATACATCACTACTGGGAAAACCATAGTTTTCACTAAACGGACCTTTGTTGGCAAGGTGATGTCTCTGCTTTTTAAGATGCTGTCTAGGTTTGTCATTGCTTTTCTCCCAAGAAGCAGGCGTCTTTTAATTTTGTGACTGCTGTCCCCATCTGCAGTGATCATGGAACCCAAGAAAGTAAAATCTCTCACTGCCTCCATTTCTTCCCCTTCTATTTGCCAGGAGGTGATGGGACCAGTGGCCATGATCTTCATTTTTTTGATGTTGAGCTTCAAATCATATTTTGCGCTCTCCTCTTTCACACTCATTAAAAGGTTCTTTAATTCCTCCTCACTTTCTGCCATCAAGGTTGTGTCATCTGCATATCTGAGGTTGTTGATATTTCTTCCAGTAATCTTAATTCCGTCTTGGGATTCATCCAGCCCACATACTACATGTGGCAGATGTAGTACTGCCAATTCCATCAACTGAAGTGGTTGATGGAGCACATGTTGGGTAAGGAGTTCTTGTAGGTAAATTGGCCCTGAGTTATTAAGGGCTTTGTGGACTAATAGCAACATAGTGCATAGAGTGCATTGCAGTAATCCAGTCTTGATGGAACTTGGGTTGCCGTATCTTGAAGAGCAAGAAAAAGAGGACGATATGATGGCCATTCAAAGCAAAGAAACCCAAATTGTTCCAAATTTTACCCCTGAAAAAGAGGACGTGTCCTGCAAAAAGAAGACCCATGAATTTCTGTGGCAAGACCTTCCCAAGCCAGGAATGGCAATAGCTGCTGATTCCACAAGTCCATCATTGGAAAGACTGATATCTGGCCTGTCATTCGGAATCAGTGTGATAAGGACCTCATGTCCTCATTTTCTGCAACTTTGCAGAAACTTGCATGAACTCAAATGTCAAATGTAAACGCGAAGAAGCAACACAATGTGCGAGCCCCTCCTACTGGATGCGTGCAGTATTGCAGTATAGGAACTTAAGAAGGCAAGGCCAATAAAGGTCCGTATAGTTAAAGCTATGGTTTTCCCAGTAGTGATGTATGGAAGTGAGAGCTGGACCATCAAGAAGGCTGATCGCCAAAGAATTGATGCTTTTGAATTATGGTGCTGGAGAAGACTCTTGAGAGTCCCATGGACTGCAAGAAGATCAAACCTCTCCATTCTGAAGGAAATCAGCCCTGAGTGCTCACTGGAAGGACAGATCCTGAAGCTGAGGCTCCAAGACTTTGGCCACCTCATGAGAAGAGAAGAGTCCCTGGAAAAGACCCTGATGCTGGGAAAGATGGAAGGCACAAGGAGAAGGGGACGACAGAGGACGAGATGGTTGGACAGTGTTCTAGAAGCTACCAGCATGAGTTTGACCAAACTGCGGGAGGAAGTGGAAGACAGGAGTGCCTGGCGTGCTCTGGTCCAGGGGGTCACGAAGAGTCGGACACGACTAAACGACTAAACAACAACAACAACTTAAGAAGAGCATATGCTGGATCAGGACCTGAGCACAAGAGCAACTTTCCCCTCCTGTTGTTTCCAACAGCTGGTGTTCAAAAGCTAAAGTGTAGGCGGGTTCCTGCGAGGCAAGACAAAGTGACAACAGCAAGAACCTTTATTGAACTGCAGAACAGGACAAGAGGGGCAAAACAATTGCTTAAATACATTTTTGGAGGCCTGGGCTACTCCCACTCTCAACGTGATTGGCTGTCTAAACTTCCAAGCTGCGAATCACAAGTCAGAGTTTAAGGGCCAATGGCAGAGGCCCAAATCCTGAAATGTTCTGTGATTGGATATCATGTATCGAATCAGAACACAAGGGCTCAGAATCCCTAGACCTGACAACACAGACCACTGAATACATAATAATAATAATAATAATAATAATAATAATAATAATAATAATAATATAATATAATAATAAAATAATAATAATAATTTATTATTTATACCCCGCCCATCTGGCTGCGTCTCCCCAGCCACTCTGGGCAGCTTCCAACAAAGATTAAAAATACATTAAAATGTCACACATTTAAAACTTCCCTGAACAGGGCTGCCTTCAGATGTCTTCTAAATGTCAGGTAGTTGTTTATCTCTTTGACATCTGACGGGAGGGCGTTCCACAGGGCAGGTGCCACCACCGAGAAGGCCCTCTGCCTGGTTCCCTGCAACCTCACTTTTCACAGGGAGGGAACCCCCCAGTAGGCCCTCAGCGCTGGACCTCAGTGTCTGGGCGGACAATGGTACAGAGATAGAACAGCATGGCTCCTAGCTCTGGGAACATTGCTGTCTTGTGTGTCTCGTTGCAGGTGGTGCGGGACCAGATCTCCCACTGCACAGTGAAACTACGCCAGACGACGGGACTCATGGAATACTGCTTGGAGGTCATCAAGGAGAACGATCCCAGCGGATTCCTCCAGGTTGCTGCTTGATTCTCTTCCCCCCTGTTCATAATCCTAAGAGAAGCGTGGATTTCCTCTTATTGCTGCAAATGCCCTAATTCAGACCTCCTTGAGTTCATGTATACAGTCATACCTTGGGTTACAGACGCTTCAGGTTGCGTTTTTTTGGGTTATGGACCGCTGAAACCCGGAAGTATCGGAACGGGTTACTTCCGGGTTTCAGGGGTCGTGCATGCAGCTGCTGCAGGTTGCGAACGCTGTACATTGTGGTGTTCATGACCGGTAGATGATGCTACCTAGCATTCCTAAGCAACTCAAGGCTACTTGGCCTAGGAGCACAAAGCACTTGTGGAAAGAGGAGGAGTTGGCTGCTTGTTTGCAAGTCGCCTTGAGAAGATAAACCTGCTGATCTGTTTAACCTTTTAAGACTCAGTCCTTCTCATTCCATCAGGGATGGCCGGAGCGAAGTACAGGGACTGAGCACATCACATGCAGAAGACCCCTAAATTCAATTCAATCCCTGGTATCTCCGGTTAAAAGGATCTCAGGCAGAGTCACTGCAAAGTGTCTCTGTCTGAGTCCCTGGGGGGAAACACAGCTGGTATAGAGAGACAGTAGTGGGCTTGGTAACAAAGATCTGAAGCTGCACAAAAGGAACCATTAAATGCATCTTTTCATTTAATATGCACTTTATAAGAAGCAAAGAGAAGTTGCTGAGGAGATGCAGGTTGCTGCAGGCAGAGAAGCAGAGGAGTTTGGCATCAATGGAACATTTCCCCCTGATGCAAATATCAGCCTCAGAGGAGCGATTTTCCTCAGGACTACAGCAAAGGCTTAAATCCCCTCCTTTTTGTCTTCTGTGATCTGAATTTTCTCAGGTCTGTTGTGTGGGAATCTTCAGGGAGGCAGGAGAGGATATATTGTTTATTAATATCCTTCCTAACTTGCGCTAGCAAGTTCCTTTACTTAGCAGAGTTTTACATTCCCCATTTAAACGCACAGCAGATAGGTGGTTGTTTAAGCCTCTCACTATTAGATTCCTGTTAAGTCCCCTTATATTCCTCTTAAAAGAATGAGCACGCCACAATCTTGTGTAAAGTATATAAAAGTCCAGTATACCTGAAGGAGCGTCTCCACTGCCATCGTTCTGCCTAGACACTGAGGTCCAGCTCCGAGGGCCTTCTGGTAGTTCCCTCACTACAAGAAGCCAAGTTACAAGGAGGCCAAGAGAGCATCTTTGGCTAAGCAGATGTTGCTTCTTCGATGCATGTAGTCAAAGAGAGGGAGGTGGCTGCCCTTCCCTGTGCTTTTGTTGTTACCTGCACAGGTGAGGCCACGCCCACCTCTAGTCACATGCAAAGGAAGTCTGTCCCAGCCCAGAAGGAAACAGGAAGTTTACCTGCTGGCTGGACAAACATTCCTCCCCATGTGTAAACATGTTCACTCTAGAATGATGTACTTGACTGCTCTTGTGTTTCACATCCCACAAGTGTATGTCAGTCAAAGGGTATCCTGCATCTAAGACTGGATTTTGCATATTGGCTATCAAGGCTTGTGACCTTCCTCACCCCGGGAGACGTCTCCAATCCTGTACTTATCCAAGCATCGCACACTCTGATCCACCCGTCTCCTTTGCCACCAGATCTCTGATGCGCTGATAAGGAGAGTCCACCTGACAGAGGACCAATGGGGGAAAGGAACCCTCTCCCCAAGGATGACGACAGACTTTGACCTGAACCTGGACAGCGGGCCTTTGCTGCAGACCATCCACCAACTGGACTTCATGCAAATGAAAGGTAAATGTCAGAGAAATCCTGTCTCTGTCTGTTTGGAAGGAGTGCCAGGCATGAAAATACGAGGGGGAGGAAAGAACAGCAGGTTTAAAATAGCCGCAAGGTAGAAATTTATTTTAGGCATGTTATCTCCCATGCTTGAACAAAGTGCTCAGGGTGACTAACAATTGCATAATAATTAAATGTCTTTTTTGAAACACTGTTACCTAGGAACCAGTTTTAAAAGCCGAGCTTTGCTAGTGAGTCTGGGTAGATAACATTTCCATATGGACCAAGACGAGTAATGTTAACTTGTTTCTTTAGGAATGTTACCTGCCACCCCAGTCTCCAGTCTCCAATTGGCCTGATCTAACAGGCTCTTCTTAAGGGGCGCGGGTGGCGCTGTGGGTTAAACCACAGAGCCTAGGACTTGCTGATCAGAAGGTCCAGCGGTTCGAATCCCCGCGAGGCGGTGAGCTCCCATTGCTTGGTCCCTGCTCCTGCCAACCTAGCAGTTCGAAAGCAACACAGTGCAAGTAGATAAATAGGTACCACTCCAGCGGGAAGGTAAACGGCTGCTCTGGTTCGCCAGAAGCGGCTTAGTCATGCTGGCCACATGACCCAGAAGCTGTACGCCGGCTCCCTCGGCCAATACAGTGAGATGAGCGCCACAACCCCAGAGTTCGGTCACGACTGGATCTAATGGTCAGGGGTCCCTTTACCTTTACCTTAACAGGCTCTTCTTAGATAGAATCCTAGAGATTCACAACACCATCTTACTAAAACAGGAGCACAACAGACGTGGAGCGCACCAACTGATTGCGCCATTCTTATGTCCTTAGTTGCAGACCTAGCCTCTGGGCTAGGAAAATGACAATCCAGTGGACTTGTAAAAGGGGAAAAGAGTATTGGGAAATGATCCATAATGAATTGAAAAAAAATGTTTATAAGTACTTTCCTAAAAAAACTAGAGTCAAAAGCTTATTTATTTATGTATGATGCTGCTATTGCAGCCCGTGTTTTGTTAGCCCCAAAATGGAAAACGAACAAGGTCCCAACCAAAGAAGAATGGCAACTTAAGTTGACAGAAATATGCACAACTCGTAGACTTAACATATAGAATAAGAACAAGAAGAACATACATTTAAAGAAGATTGGTAAATGTTTATTGAATATATGAGAAATAATTGTATGCAGCTGAAAATGCTGGCAGTAATAATAATAATAATAATAATAATAATAATAATAATAATAATAATTTTTATTTATATCCCGCCCTCCCTGGCCAGAGCCAGGCTCAGGGCAGCTAACACTGGTAAAATTACAGTAAAAACATAATGGGGGGAAAAGCCCAATTTAAAATACAGGTTAAAATGCAATTTAAAATGCAGCCTCATTTCCCCATAGATCAAAACCATAAGGGGAGGGAAACATAAGGGTCAGACTGAGTCCAAATCAAAGGCCAGGCGGAACAGCTCTGTCTTGCAGGCCCTGCGGAAAGATGTCATGTCCTGCAGGGCCCTGGTCTCTTGTGACAGAGCGTTCCACCACGTCGGGGCCAGTACTGAAAAGGCCCTGGCCCTAGTTGAGACCAATCTAACCACCTCACGATTTGGGACCTCCAAAATGTTGTCATTTGCGGACTTTAAGGTCCTCCGTGGGGCATACCAGGAGAGGCGGTCCCGTAGGTACGTGGGTCCTAGGCCGCATAGGGCTTTAAAGGTCAAAACCAGCACCTTAAACCTGACCCTGTACTCCACCAGGAGCCAGTGCAGTTAAGACAAATTCAACAGCGTAAAAAAGTTTTGATGGATGCAATAATAGAATATTGAATGGTATAGTTTTTTGTAAAATGTGCAGGGATTTATGATATGTAAAATGAACCATGGAAAGAGAAGAAAGGAAGTCACTGATATCTTAAGGAAGTGAAATGAGTATTTTAAATGGTAAAACAGAAAATTCAATTACAATTATTTATATGTGTGTGTGTGTGTGTGTGTGTGTGTGTGTGAGAGAGAGAGAGAGAGAGAGAGAGAGAGAATGACAATCTCTTTCTCAGGATGGAAAACCCCCATGTTTACATGCCTGCAGTAATGGCTGCGCAATTGCCATTTTAGGAAACAGGGGAAATAAATCTGATGGAGAAATGGGAGCGTTTGCCTCCCTCCTTCCACTGTATGCCATTCATTCCAAGATCTGTTCTTCCTGCATTCACACAACTGGGCACAATGCAGCCCTCCTTGTCCGCGATATGCCCAGCTGCCTACGCATCCGTTCCTCTCCTCCTTGCCAGCTCAGCTGCATTGGCACATCGCAACAGGCCCCATCTGGGGCAGAGCAGCGGAGCAGAGAGAGATGGCAACAGGCAGGGCCGCTGAGAAGATGTTTGTGGCGATGCTCCTGGGCGACCTGCCAGCTGCGAGGTGCCCATCTGCGCCATTGTGGCACTTCAAAGCCTCGCAAGGGGGAAGGGATATCCAGACCCCTGTCTTGAAGCAGGCTTTGTTGTAGGGCGATGCTCAGAGTGCCTGCCACCTGGGTAGGAACTGTAGGCTTGTGGAGAACTGCAGTTCCCACGGCTAATGAGAAGGAAGTTCTGAGCTGGCAATTTGCAGTAATAACAGTATTTCTATAGCCTTTTTTTTGCAGTAATAACAGTATTTCTATAGCCTTTTTTTTTCAAAAGTGGGGCTAATGAACAAGAAGATGAGATGGCTTACTGATTTCTATACACTCAGTAATTTAGAATAGGAGATAAATTGGCAAGTTTTAGGTGGCCCCCAGGACTATCACCTACAATTCCAGTACAAAAATTAAAACAGAACATATAATACAGAAAGGACGCTACTTATATTACTTGAAGGGTTATTACAGCCAAGGACAGCCTATAATAATAATAATAATAATAATAATAATAATAATAATAATAATAATATATTATAGCCCACCCATCTGACTGGGTTTCCCCAGCCACTCTGGGCGTCTTCCAACAAAAGATTAAAAATACATTAAAACATCAGTCATTAAAAACTTCCCTAAACAGACAGGCAGAATCCGGGACCTGGGAGAAGAGGTAGTGGAAGAGGACTGGAAAAAATTTAAGGACTATCTACAAAAGCATTATAAGTTATATGAATGTTGAGAATTTGCTAAGTCATTGGAAAAACATGCTTCAGTATGGAGATTTGAAGATGGGGGAAATTAAGTTATGATTGTGAAAAGTTCAAAATTTAGAGCAAATATTCCTAATATTAGGGATGGAGGATAGAAAGAAGTTACTTAACAATAAGTACTCTAAAGCTAAAATATAATCAGATGAAAGTACAAAAACGCATGAAACAAGGTATTAATTTGCTGTAATTTTATTTTTTATAAAGAATGCAGGGCGCTGGGGATGTGGGGAAGTCCAGTGGATCATGAAAAATGTTTGAAATTTTCTTTTTTCTATCTTTCTTTCTTTATTCTGTAAAACCGCTTTTTGTTGAGTTACTGACGATGTATTTGACCCTGGAAAAAAAGCAATAAAAAATATTTAAAAAAAAAAAAAAAAAAACTTCCCTAAACAGGGCTGCCTTCAGATGTCTTCTAAAAGTCTGGTAGTTGTTGTTCTCTTTGACATCTGCTGGGAGGGCGTTCCACAGGGCGGGTGCCGCCACCGAGAAGGCCCTCTGCCTGGTTCCCTGTAACCTCACTTCTCACAATGAGGGAACCGCCAGAAGGCCCTCGGAGCTGGACCTCAGTGTCCGGGCAGAACGATGGGGGTGGAGACGCTCCTTCAGGTATACAGGGCCGAGGCCGTTTAGGGGTTTAAAGGTCAGCACCAACACTTTGAATTACAGTAGCAAAGATGCAAGTACGTTTAGAAAATAACCAAATCTCATGGCTGTTAGACTATCATTTGTGATCCTTTCTTCCAAATACACAAATTAAAAATGAAGCTACAAGGAAACTAACAGAATATGAAAAGAAATAAGGGAGACTGTAATGACTCGGCGATTAATTTCCCTTTTATACAAAGCCCTTACTGAGAACCAAGTGTGCCCCCAACAAAACCTAAAAAGCTGGTGGGAACTAAACAGGGATACAAAGTTCTGCTGCTGCATCATTCAGTCAGAGGCGCTGCAGAGGGGACAATCGGAGGGGACCCAACTCAGAGGCTTGGGGTGATAGAGGGCCTTCTCTAAATGTTGGAAATGTAAAGAAACTGAAGGTACATTCTTCCACCTTTGGTGGACGTGCCCAAGGATTAAGGCTTTCTGGGAGACAATATATAATGAATAGAAAAAGGTATTTAAATATACCTTCTTCAAGAAACCAGAGGCCTTTCTCCTGGGCATAGTCGGCCCATCGGTGTTAAAGAAGAATAGAACTTTCTTTATGTATGCTACAACAGCAGCAAGAATACTTATTGCAAAGTATTGGAAGACACAAGACATACCCACTCTGGAAGAATGGCAGATGAAGGTGATGGACTACATGGAATTGGCGGAAATGACTGGTAGAATCTGAGACCAGGGAGAAGAGTCGGTGGAAGAAGACTGGAAGAAATTTAAAGACTATTTACAGAGATACTGTAAAATTAATGAATGTTAGAATGATGTTGGATTGAAATAAGGTGGTTTCTAGCTGTAATGGTATAAAAGAATATGAAAAAATGTTTTTTATAAGTAAAAATTTAATGTTATAATAATTTTCTTTTTTCTTTTTCATTTTGTAATATTGTAAAAACCCTAATTAAAAAATTATTTAAAAAAAAGATAGAGGGCCTTCTCTGTGTTGGCACCTTTCCTGTACAGGTTCCAACAAATGCTAAAGGCTCGCCTTTTTACCCTGGCTTCTGAGACTTGAGGCATAGGTTTTTAGCACCCACCTGATTTTTTTATGGTTCTAACTTATTTTAATGTTGCCTTTTAATGCTGTGGCCCCCTCCTGGGACTTTAGGGATGTTTGGACTACTGCAATCCGCTCTCCATAGGGCTACCTTTGAAGGTGACCCGGAAACTACAATTAATCCAGAATGCGGCAGTTAGACTGGTGACTGGGGGCGGCCGCTGAGACCACATAACACCAGTCCTGAAAGATCTTCATTGGCTCCCAGTACGTTTCCGAGCACAATTCAAAGTGTTGGTGCTGACCTTTAAAGCCCTAAACGGCCTCGGGCCAGTATACCTGAAGGAGCGTCTCCACCTCCGTCGTCCAGTCCGGACACTGAGGTCCAGCTCCAAGGGCCTTCTGGCAGTTCCCTCAATGTGAGACGTGAAGCTACCGGGAACCAGGCAGAGGGCCTTCTTGGTAGTGGCACCCTCCCTGTGGAATGCCCTCCCACCAGATGTCAAGGAAACAACTACCAGACTTTTAGAGGACATCTGAAGGCAGCCCCGTTGAGGAAAGTTTTTAATGTTTGATGTTTTATCGTGCTTTTAATATTCTGTTGGGAGCTGCCCAGAGTGGCTGGGGAAACCCAGCCAGATGGGCGGGGTATAAAGTATAATTATTATTATAATACAGTCATACCTCTTGTTACGTTTGCTTCAGGTGAAATCTTTTCAGGTTGCGTCCCGCAGCAACCCGAAAGTACCAGAAAGGGTTACTTCCGGGTTTCACCACTCACGCATGTGCAGACGCTCAAAATGACGTCACGCGCATGCACAGAAGCGGCGAATCGCGGCACGTGCAGACGCGGGTTGCGTTCTGCTCATGTTGCGAACCGGGCTCCGGAACGGATCCCGTTCGCAACCAGAGGTACCACTGTACAGTGGTGCCCCGCAAGACGAATGCCTCGCAAGACGGAAAACCCGCTAGACGAAAGGGTTTTCCGTTTTTGAGCTGCTTTGCAAGACGATTTTCCCTATGGGCTTGCTTCGCAAGACGAAAACGTCTTGCAAGTCTTGCCGATTTTTTTTCGCTCCCCCCCCTTTTTCTAAGCCGCTAATAGCCTTTTAGCCGCTAAGCTGCTAAGCCTTTAATAGCCGCTAAGCGCTAAACCGCTAATAGCGCTAATCCACTAATCCGCTAATGGGCTTGCTTCGCAAGACAAAAAAACCGCTAGACGAAGAGACTTGCGGAACGGATTATTTTCGTCTTGCCAGGCACCACTGTATTAGGGTGAAGGATGGGTAATAAGCCGACAAACTCTTGCAGAACTCAGAGGCCCCGATTGAAGACTGGAAGAAGACTGGAAGAAATTTAAAACATATCTTAAAAATTGTTGTAAAATTGAGGAGTGTTAAGATGTCAAGGAATTAGGAAATAGAGAATTGCAGCTGTAATCAATAAGTTAAAAAAAAAAGAACTTAAATGAAATTGAATTGAATAATTAGTTAATTGGAGGAGTTGCTGAAGAAATGTAAAACAAGGATGCAGAAAAGGGGAGGTATGGGGAAGTCCGGGAAGTAAGGTGTATGAAAATAAGATTATGAAATTATACATGTTTATATGTTTGTATGTTTGTGTATTGTGTATTGTTTGTTTTATTATGTGTTTGGAAAACTAATAAAAATTTATTAAAAAAAAACAAAAAAAAACAGAGGCCCCGATTTCCACCCTGTCTGGCGGTAGAAGTCGGGGTTACACTAATTTCTGTTTAGCTTCCTCCCCAGTGCCGGCCCCCCCAATCCTCCAGCTGGAAGAGTGCTGCACCCAGAACAACAGCGCCACCTTGTCGTGGAAGCAGCCTCCACTTTCCGCGGTGCAAGTGGACGGATACATCCTGGAGTTGGATGACGGGAACGGTGGTCAGTTCAGGGTATGTTTTATGGAGAGGCGCTTTTACGTTGTGCTTGAATAGTGCTGGCTCCAGGTTTTAGCGTTGGAAGGGGTTCCAGGGGTCATCTAGTCCAACCCCGTGTGAAGCAGGGATCTCAACTGACAGGTGGCCACCCAACCTCGTTAAAAGACCATTAAAACTCAAATAGAATTGCGTGGCGAGTTCCCGCCCCCACCAAGTGGAAATAATGACACGTGACACAATTATTAAGGTTAATGGGCTAAAAAAGGCCACAACTTTATTGGTTACAGGTGATGAGCAGTATTGGCTTAGGCATTGGTCCTAACTGACTATATCCGACTCCAGCCCGTCCGCTGGAAGACCGGCAAGGGTTAACCACCAGTAGGGGGAGTCCTGCTGATGTACATCAACTAGGAACTCCCCCGGGGTCACCAATAGGGGGCGTGCCTTAGGCCCTCACCTCCCTAGACCAGTGTACGGACAGGGCCATGCCCTGCCTTGGAATCCTTTACCAGACTACCCTCCAATATGCGGGGCAGGTGATGGCGCTACCTCCCCTCTTCCATCTACAGAACAATACCAATGCCTAACCGCCAATACCCAGAAAGTTGTGGCGATTTGCTACGAGGTAGGCGAAAACCAAGTGGCTGGTGCCAATTTGCCAAGTGGGAAAATTCCTACCAGGCCCCTCAATGACGACCAACCAAGGTCCATAGCAAGGTCAAGGAACGGAAACCTTATAGGGCGGGAGGTTGGGAAACCGGAACAGCTGATGCGCGGCAAAGAGGGAGATCCCCGGCCGCGTCCTGCCTTTATAGGGCAGGCCACGCCCCCTGAACCAGCCAATTGGCCGGCCAGGGGGTGACACAGCCAGGAATCCCCCAATCATGCGGGGGCTGGCCTCCACCCACCGTGCGCATGGTGGGGCCATGAAGCCCGCAACCCCACCTCCTCTGAAGGGCGGAAGTGGCTTTGGGACCCTAGAATCACAGAACTGTAGAGTTGGAAGGGACCCCAAAGTCATCTAGTCCGAGTCCCTGAAATGCAGGGGCTGAAACCACTGACGCTTTGTGTGCGTAGGCAATCGAGAATAGATTTCTGATGTGAGACTTGGGTGGGTGGAAACCTAAGCCAGCACAGATGCCTTTTGGAGGGGGGGGGCTGGCTTAAAATAGCTGCCTCCAACATCTTGGAAATAAAAGGCAATTGCTTCCTAGCCTTCTCGTTTCTCTGGGGAGCTGTGAGTTTCAGGGACAGTTACTCAACAATCATTTTTTCTTAGGAGCAGCAATCAAAAACACAAATATATGTAATATATTCGCTGGGGAGCAGCCTCAGCTGTGTGGTCGGACATCTGCTTTGCTTGTAGAAGGTCCAAGGTTCAATTTCCGATGCCCCTGAGATGCCCCTGGCTGAAACCCTGGAGAGATGCCGCCAGTCAGTGTGGACAATATTGACCTAGATGGTCCAGTGGCCTGGCTGCATAAGGCAGTTTCTTGTTTACCCTATATATTTAAGGTAGGATCATTGCTCAGTGGCAGAGCACCTGCTCTGCATGCAGAAGCACCCTGGTTCACTCCCCAGCATCTCCAAGTTGGGCTGGGAAAGGCTCCCTTCCTGAATCCCTGGAGAGTTGCTGCCAGCCAGTGTAGACAGCAATAAGCACAAGGCAGCTTCCCGCAATCCTAATTTTTTGGACATTCAGCGATTGTCGTTGACTCAACTGAGATTTGAGCCAGAGTCTTCCTTTGCCAACCTGACACCTATCAATATTTTGGACGACAACTCTGACCGGCCCCAACCAGCATGGATTTTTGGAGTAATGGTACAAAACATCTGGAGGGCATCAGGTTGGCAAAGGCTGGCCTATGATCTTGCCTCCCACTGCGCACACCAGATCTCTGCTGCATTGCAAAGCTTCCCTGAAAGGGCCCGTTCCCTGTGGGAGCAGTCAAATGCAACATTCCTTGTTTTCCTAGAGTGGACATGCAAGGGGATATTGGTCAGCCAGTCGAAACTTCCTGTTTCCTCCTGGCCTGGAGCATCCTTCCTTGCATGTGACTAGAGGGGGGCGTGACCTTACCTGTCCAGGTAACAAAAAGCACAAATCACGCAGCACTCTCTCTCTCTTTGACTTCCTTCTTTGTTTGACCAGCTTTTTAGCTAGGATGCTATGATAGCTTCTCATCCAGCATAAGCACTGGGATTATTCCCCCATATGGGGAAGATCCACATGTACATATTTTGTAACTAAGTCTGCCTTCAGGAATCCAACTGTGAACTGATTTGAGTAAACTTATTTTATTAGCTTTAAATAAGATTGTTGTCTCTTTATTCTTTTAAGAGGGATTAAAGGGAACTTACCAGGAACTATAGCAGGGACGTGGGTGGCGCTGTGGGTTAAACCACAGAGCCTAGGACTTGCCGATCAGAAGGTCGGTGGTTCGAATCCCCACGACGGGGTGAGCTCCCGTTGTTCGGTCCCTGCTCCTGCCAACCTAGCAGTTCGAAAGCACGTCAAAGTGCAAGTAGATAAATAGGTACCATAGGTAAACGACATTTCCATGCGCTGCTCTGGTTCTCCAGAAGCGGCTTAGTCATGCTGGCCACATGACCCGGAAGCTGTACGCCGGTTCCCTCGGCCAATAAAGCGAGATGAATGCTGCAACCCCAGAGTCTGTCACGACTGGACCTAATGGTCAGGGGTCCCTTTCCCTTTACTTAGCAGGAACTATACAATTCATTCTGAGACAGACTGAATTGTATAACAGTGAGAGACTCACACGAGCCTGCAACCAGCTATCTGCTGTGCTTGAGAAGGGGAATGTAAACTCTGCTAAGTAAAGGAACTTGCTAGCGTGGGTTAGGAAGGATATTAATAAACAATATATGCCTCCCTGAACATTCCCACACATACATCAGCTTTGTGTCTTTGGGTCCTTAGGAGGTGTATGTCGGGAAGGAGACGATGTGCACTGTGGATGGACTCCACTTTAACAGCACCTACAGTGCTCGGGTCAAGGCCTTCAACAAGACCGGGGTCAGCCCCTACAGCAAGATGCTGGTCCTGCAGACCTCCGAAGGTAAGTCATGGCTGCCGGGATCAGGGGTGAGGCATTTTCCACTGAAGAAGGGCCAGGGGGGTCCTTCCTTGCCTAGGCTCATCTTAGGCATTCTTGCAGGAGATGCCCTTCCTTGTTTGGGTTGCTAAACTGGAGACCATCCCCCTTCCCTCAAAAAAGGAGAGAAATGCCACCTGGGAAAAAGGCGTCAAAAGCAATTTCTGTCCTCCCTGCCCCTTCCGTTCCAAAAACGTGTCACGCAGTTGGCCATGTTTTCTATTTAATAGTTGCATCCTGCTTTTCCAACAATGAACGTGGCGCTCAAAGCGGCTTGCGACAATCACAGCAGCGCTGAAAAGCAACAAACGCAGCAGCAGCGAGTGCTCTAATATCTCTAATAACGCATTGGCGTATGAATAAAGCAAACGGGCAACAACAAATTCATCAGTCAGTGTGATTCAGTAACGTCAGAAGATGGGGAAGAGCTGCTGGGCTCCAGCCCTAGAGCAGATGACATCCTCTCTCTGGGGAGGGGCTACTTCTTGGGTCAGGCACCCCACTCCCAGGCAGTGAGATCGTTCACAGTTTTTTAATCCTGACTTCTTTTTCACCTTGTATGAGTCCGCAGGTGCACCTACAGGTGTTTTGTTGGAGGCGACTCTTTGAGATCCGGAGTCTATTTCTTTTATCTCTCTTTCTTGAGTGGGAAACAGCTCCCGTAAAGCTTTCCTCCGCCTCCCTCTCTTCTGACACGCACGGCCTTCAAACTCCCCCTTGGCCTCCGTTTTCCTACTTCTCCCTTCAGCCCCTAATCGGGGTGGGACAGGCGCACCCCGTTTTCCCACTTGAGATGGAACAGGCATGAGCCACCCCCTCCCCGCGCTGTTCGCCTCGCCACTGGCGCTGTGGCTCTCTTCCCGCATTGTGTGCCAGAGCCCACAAAACACTGGCAGCAGTGCCATCTTCTGACAGAGGATCATGCCGAAATCTCACAAGATCTCCTGCTCTCCATGAGCTCTTGTGAGACTTCGGCAAGATGGAATCATAGAGCGGTGGAGTCGGAAAGGACCCCTAGTCCAACCCAGCAGTGGAGCATGTATCCATGGCACCGGGGGGGGGCACATACTGGGGGTCTGGAGGGCGAACGTAGCCTGCTTTGCACATGCCCAGCCCCACCCACTGCAGCCAATGGAGTGACCCCAGCCCAAGCTGCTTTGTGAGACTGGAATGACCCCAGCCTCCGAAAGCAGCACAGGGTCTTGCAATGCTTTGCAAAGGGGCTCGAGGCTGGGGCTGGGATTGGAAGGTGCGTGGCATCTTCCTCGTATTTATGGGACCTGCCTCTCCTGGTCTGCCCCGCAGAGGACCTTAAGGTCCATGAATAATCATAGTTTAGAGGTCTCTGAGGAAGTCAGACTATCCTACACCAGGGCCAGGGCCTTCTCAGTGATGGCTCCGACCTGGTGGAATGCTCCGTCCTGTGAGACCAGGGCCCTGCAGGATTTAACCTCCTTCTGCAGGGCCTGTAAGACAGAGCTATTCTGCCTGGCTTTCAATTTTATTTCCCTTCCTTCCCTCCCCCTCCCCTTTTTATGAAGATTACCCGCTCTGGGATCCCACAGCTAAATCCCCCTTGGTCTCCTCGCTGGCCCAAACAGGACTAACTTAGCCAGCTAGCCCTGGTGATCATCTAATGTTTATTGGATGGATTTCCCCCCTAAATTGATTTTTGAATTCTGAATTTAATGTTATCCACATTTTATACTGTATTTTATGCTGGTTTTTGTTGCATCAATTAAGTGTTTTAAATTTGTTGTTAGCTGCCCTGAGCCTGGTTTTCTGAACCGGGAAGGGTGGGGTATAAATAAAAAATTATTATTATTATTTCTCAAGGCACCCTCCCTGAGCCGCTTTGCAAGGCTGGGATCTGATCATATTCCAGCCTTGCAAAGGGCCAGCTCAAGGAAGGTGGCATGAGCAGCGCTCCCTCCCCAAAAATGTGCCCGGAGCAATTGCCCTGGGAGTCCCCTCCCCCTTCCCAACACTACAACCCTAGTCCAACCCCTTGCAAGGCAGGAATCTCACCTGAAGCATCCTTGACAGGTGGCCACCCAACCTCTTCTTAAAAACCTCCAAGGAGGGAGAGTCCACAGCCACTGTCTCTTCTACTTGCCGAAAGATAAGGTTTGCTTGCTCAAGGATTTCGGCTGAGGAGTGTGTGTGTGCGTGCGCACACACGCATGCATGCACACACACGTGTATATCTATAGATTTGCACCCAGCTTTGTAAATCTGTATGCAGAGCTTTGTACATAGGGTTGCATCCGATGCTGTTGGTCCCTTACCTTTCCCGCCCCGACCTGGCCACATTGATCCACGTGACGGTCACCTCCAGGCTTGACTACTGTAATTCGCTCTACGCGGGGCTGCCCTTGAAGCTGTCCCAGAAACTCCAGAGGGTGCAGAATGCTGCAGCGAGGCTCCTCACGGGGTCTCTGCCAAGGGACCCAGCTGGACTGGCTCCTGGTGGAGTACGGGGTCAGGTTCAAGGTGCTGCTTTTGACCTTTGAAGGCCTAGGACCCTCGTACCTATGGGACCACCTCTCCCGGTCTGCCCCACGGAGAGCCTCAAGGTCCATAAATAGCAACACCCTCGTGGTCCCGGGCCCTAAGGAAGTCAGATTAGCCTCAACCAGAGCCAGGGCCTTTTCAACATTGGCTCCAGCCTGGTGGAACGCTCTGTCTCATGAGACCAGGGCCCTGCAGGATCTGATCTCTTTCCGCAGGGCCTGTAAGACAGAGTTGTTCCGCCTGGCCTTTGGCTTGGAGCCAATTTGATTCCCTCCCCCTCTTTCTTTTTCCTTTCTCCTCCTGCGATGAGGCTGCATTTTAATATTTTAATGTTTCAATATTTGTTGTATTTTAATATTGTTTTTTAAGTTGTATTCATTCAACTTGTTTTTATTCTTGCTTGTTAGCCGCCCTGAGCCCGGCCTTGGCTGGGGAGGGCGGGGTATAAATAAAAATTATTATTATTATTATGAACTAGCAGAATGCCGTTGGTGGGGTGGGGCTTCCCCTTCCTCTCCTCTCCCTGTGAGCCCACCCCCCCAAATTTGGTAAAGCCATAACTGGGAGCCAGTGGCGGAGGGAGGAGTGTGCGGTGGGGGCAGTCCACCCTGGGCGTCTTCACCGAGGGGGGCGACATTTGCCGCACCGCCCGCCCACGACTCCGAAGCCTACCCCGAGCCGTCGGGGGAAAGGGGGACAGCAGGAGGAAGCTTAGGAATTGCAGGTGGGAGGCGCACCGAATGTCGAGCGCACCGTGCACCCGAGCGGCTATCCCGCGCCTGGGAGGCCACCCTCCGTGCCCCCCCTCGGGAGCACGCCCCACCCCCCTCGGTGGACGCGCCCGCCCTGGGTAGTGTGGGCATATGCTCCTCCGCTGCTGGGAGCTGTTCTGCCCCAGGGGCCACGCTCCCCTTGGGAGACTCTCCCCCCAGTTTCACTTGCACAGGTAAGGAAGGGCTTGGGTGCCGTGTTCGACTCGCCCCTTTGGGGAGCTCTGACCTTGAGTTTGCCTTGATCTTGCATCTAGACTCCGAACCGGAGGAGCAGGCCCTGACTTTCCCAGTGCCTTTGGAAAGGCTGCAGCTGCGTAGATCCAGCCCCTTCTCCTCCACCCTTAACCTGCAAAACAGCTTTCCGGGGAGATCCTACTTTGAGCTCAGATCCTCGTCCCACCAAATGAGCTTGCACTCTTCTTTACAATCTCTGAATTCGGCCGGTGGGTGAGCCGAGTGTGCGCTGTGCTTCTGGACGTCCCCCCGTTTTGTTTTGGGGGTTCGGCTCTTGTTTTGTTGCTGTTTGCTTTTTTTTTTGCTTTTCTTTTTAATTTTTTTTTGGGGGGGCCCTCCTCCCCTTCTCCCCCCGCCCATGGCATCCGTGTGAGACGGGACTTGCTGTTCTATGTTGTCAGTGGCCCGTGTTCCACTGTGCAGGAAACTCTGAGGATGTAGACATGATGTGTGACATGTTTGTTTCTGTGTTACAAGTTTGTAGACTTTGTTTGAACAGCACCAGCAAGCAAGGATATCGTTGCTGACATCCTGTCTCCTTTATGTGGACTTGCAGTCAACAGCATTGTCTTTGAGAAGGGGGAAAAGTCACAAACGTGCAAAGTTCAAATAGCATTTAGAAGGATTTTTTAAAAAACACTATTTACTTACAGTATTCTATTGATTAAATTTCTATCCTGCTGTTCCTCCCAAAGGAGCCCAGGGCAGGCAGCAATTACTGGATTTCACCACCAGATTGGGGATTTTTAAAATGCAACTTGAGGGTATAACACAACCTTTGCCAACCTGGTGCTCTGCAAATATTTTGGACTACAACTCCCATGAACACCCAGCCAGCACCCTCAGGAGCATATGGCCATGCTGCCTCAGGCTGATGGGAGTTGTAGTCCAACAAGACTGTTGAGCACCCGATTGGTGCTGTAACAGAAGAAGCAGGTTAGATCACAGATGTGCCAATGATCAGGGATGATGGGAATTGTAGTCCATCAATATCTGGAATACACACCACACCGACTAACTGTGGCACCGCATGTCAGCAAGAGGACTGGGCCAGGAAACGTCTCCCTAACAGGCTAAACCTCCCCCAGTGCAGAGGTTTTGGTGCAGGACAGGACAGCCAATGTGGTTTCTCCAGATGTTGGGCTGTGCCCATCTCCTCCAGCCGGCTTGGCCAGTGGCCAGAGGAGCTGTTGTCCAACAACATCTGGAAGGCAAAATGTTGGCTGCCACCACGTAGGAAAACATCCAAGCTGCGTTGAGGTTCCTGAAGGCGTATAATTCCTGGGTGGGAGATGGGTGCCCACTGTCTATAACATTGAATCTGTGGCCAGGCCCCACACATTTATTTGTTATTTATTTCCTAAAATGTATACACCGCTGGATTGTAAAAAGGCAATACACACACACACATACACACTTTAAAGCGGTTTACAAAAAAGAAAACAAACATTAAGATGGTCACAAAGTGAAATATACTCAGAGTCGAGAGTGGATTTCATGCTCTTTATTCAGCTCATAGTAGCGAGGAATGGAAGTTCCTCCAAAATGTCTGCTTTATATACATTATTTACACAATGGGCCCCACGTGATTGGCTAATTCCGGGATTCTCCTGTAGGCCAATCAGGTCGCAGATTTACTTCCACCTGGAGCTGGATTGGGTGTGGACCAATCAGACTGCTGCATTCTGAATCCTATTGTTCTAGGACCAATCAGGCTGCTGCATTCTGAATCCTATTGTTCTAGGACCAGTCAGACTGCTGCATTCTGGATCCTATTCGACTCAGTACATAACACAAAGAAAAATGATTTAATACATTTGAAAGGTTTAAAATAACGATAAGCTAAAAGCAGCTTAAGGCTTGCACCAGCTATCTAAACATCTGGGCAGGCTTGTCTGAACAGAAACGCTTTCAGCAAGCCCCAGAAAGAGTACAGCGGAGGTGGCTGATGTCAATAGGCAGGGAGTTCCGAAGTGTAGGCCACAGGAAAAGATCAAGTTCTTGCAAGCGCAGAACGGGTCTTACACGGCATCTGCAGCAGTGCCAGTTTCCGCAGATCGAAGCAGCCGAGTAAGGGGCAAGGTGATTTCCACTGTGATGCCTTCAGCAAGAGAGCAACCAAGGAGAAGGTTCTAGAAAGCTGTCCTGAGCCTTGGGGTGTAATAGCAGCTCTTCACATGCATTTTCCTGTGGGATATTCTGGAATTATGGCGCCAAGGCCTCAGGTGCCCCCTCTCTCCGCAGCCCACCCTTCCCCTCCCACCTTTGCAAGAACCAACCTTTTCCGTTTGGGTTGCATTATTTTTTTAAGGATTCTCCCGTCGCTACCAGCTTACGCTGATGTAACCTCCATTGGCACCTGCCTGACACCGGCGTAAGCGAAAGGAGAATAGCCCTGACATAGATTTCTTTCTTTCCGTCCACCCCATATTTTGGAATGAGGAATGGCACAGTCTTTTAGTTGCTGGGCTACACTGAGGGGCTGGACGCACAACCCCGGTTTTATTATATTTTCCCCATCGTCCTTTTATGGGTTACCCCATCCCACTGCTTTTGTGCGACTGGCTTTCGACATAATCCATCCCCGAACGTTTCTGATCTTGTGTCCTGTGCACGAAGAGTTGGTGGTTCTGCCTGCTTCCTTGTACGTTCTTGGAGTCTGTATCTTTGGAGTGAATTGGTCTCAAGCTGGGCGGGGGGCAGATTTGTGGGGTGGAGGTAGGGGGGGGATAAACTGGATTTGGTTCGCTTTCAAAAAGCAAACCTGCATAATTTCTGCTTTCTGAAACAATAAGCAAACCAAAACGTTGGCATCGTTTGAGATTTGCCGTTCTCCGAACTTTGCAGCGCAGTTCCCCAGCCAAGTAGTTTGTACAAAAACGAATCTCTCCAGGGGAAATTGATATATTTAAGGGGAAATTGATATATATATTGATATATTTGTGGAGATAACAGATAAAAACGCATTCCGTCGGGAGGAATTGCTTTGCAAAAATGCACACATCAAATAACGTTGCGTACAAAACAAGTGTGTGATATGCTGGCGAATTTTCGTGAGAGCGTCTTTTTTAAAAAATTCACGAACTGGTGTGGAAATGTGGAGAACCTAAGAGTGGGAAATTCACAGAAATTCACACAGTGTGTGAAATTCACAGATTCACCTATCCTTAGATGGTTGGTGGAGCTCTTCCCTAAAACGGACACCTTTTGCTTCTCTTAGGAGACGTTGCACAATGGGAAATTGCCAAAAAAAATGTGAAGGTCGCAATCCCCTAAGTTGGTTTGAGTCCAGATTCATTTAAAAGCCTTTTCCTAAATTCCACATGATCAGGGTTATGTGCATTTCGTCCGTTGATGCTCAAATTCCACCCCCACCAATTCATTCTCCGATTTATGCAAGCTCAATTTGGCCTCCTTATTTTTATTTTTATTTTTTCATGCATTAATACTGGCCCTGTGATTTTCTAGTCTTTGCCAACACACACACGAAAAAGAACAGTGATGGAGAAGCAGAAATGAGGGTGTTTCTTTTACTGTTTTTGCAAGGTTGTTTCTAAACTGTTTTTAGGAAGTTTTGATTGACTTCCGCCATTGACTTGTTTGCTGCCCTGACCTCCTCCTTCGGGAGGAAAGGCAGAATATAAGTAATTTATTATTTTTATCATCACCATCATAGAATTGTAGAGTTTGAGGGGACCCCAAGGGTCATCTAGTCCAACCCCTCCAATGCAGGAATCACAGCTAAAAGAATTCCTGGCAAGTGGCCACCCAGATAGGATAGGAAGAAAAAGTAGGACAGATAGGAAGGAAGGGGGGGGCGGACATTGAAACTAGAATGCTCAATATATCAAATTGTATTTAATATTGTATTTAATGTTTTGAGACTACAATTCCCATGATCCCTGACCACTGGTCCTGCTAGCTAGGGATCATGGGAGTTGTAGGCCAAAAACATCTGGAGGGCTGAGGTTGAGGAAGCCTGCTCTAGTCGCATAGCTAATGCTTGATGATATTATTAATTATTATTATTATTATTATTATTATTATTATTATTATTTGTATACCATCTTTCTATCTTACAATACAGTGGTGCCTCGCAAGACGAAATTAATCCATTCCGCGAGTCTCTTCGTCTTGCGGTTTTTTCGTCTTGCGAAGCACGGCTATTAGCGGCTTAGCGGCTATTAGCGGCTTAGCGGCTATTAGCGGCTTAGCGGCTATTAACGGCTTAACGGCTTAGCGGCTATTAAAGGCTTAGCGGCTTTAAGAAAAAGGAAACAAACTCGCAAGAACTCGCAAGACGTTTTGTCTTGCGAAGCAAGCCCATAGGGAAAATTCGTCTTGCGGAACGACTAAAAAAACAGAAAACCCTTTCGTCTAGCGAGTTTTTCGTCTTGCAAGGCATTCGTCTTGCGGGGCACCACTGTACTCAAGGCGGTTTACAAGCTGAAGAAACTTTAAAATAAGCAACCTACATCAAAAAGTAACATTCAACAATTATTAGAACAGTACAAAATAATAATATCAACATATAAAAGTTAAACAGAAATCCACTCAACAGTTACAATAAATAATTTCTAAACTATAATCAATAAGACAACGGCAAGCCACAGTACATAAAATAAACAATACAATTGAGAAGCAGAAACTAAAGGGTGGAGCAAGGCAGGGGGAAAGAGGCCTTGCCTGATGGATAGACCTCTCCACTGGGTTGTCTAAAAGCCAGTGGCAGGGAGTTCCACTGGCTATGTGCTGTGCATGGCCGAAGTGCCAGTTGTTTGTTTGCCTTGAATCCGCTGCTGTCAACCCACTTCAGGGGTGCCAGGCCTGGTTCTAGAATGGGCCTCTCCGGGAGCTTTGACTCCAACTCCCATCAGCCCCTGCCAGTATGATTGGGGCTGGTGGGAGTTGGAGTCCAATTGACCTGGAGAGACGCAGGTTGGGGAA